CACCGTTTGAATGCTTGTTCAATAAAAAAACAGATGTTTCTAATCTGAGAGTATTTGGATGCCTAGTTTACGCTCACATGCCTGCAAGTCAACGAAAGAAATTTTCAGAGAAATCAAAGAAGTGTATCTTCATCGGATATCCTGAAGGGACGAAAGGCTACAGATTATTTGATGTACTCAGTCAAACGTTTTTTCGAAGTAGGGATGCTGTCTTTCTTGAGAAAGATTTTACGACTTGGAAGGTAATGAAAACAAACAGTTCGGTAACTTTTACACTCCACTAGAAGAAAAGATTGATGAACCACATGAAATACCAATGGAAGAATTTGCTCAAGAAGAAAATAACGAAATTGAAAACCCAGTTGAAGCAGATAAGCACCTTCAACCAGTGGGAGCGACATATGAAGAAAATTTTCTTAGAGAAACTCAAAGCCTTCCCAGAAAAAGAATATCTAGACCTCCCAACAGATTTGATGAAGAGAATTACTTCTCACAAAGCTTGACTGCTGACATCAACGAACCATGTAACATCCAAGAAGCTTGGAATGGTGAAGACAGCAACAATTGGCGAACAGCAACTGATTCAGAGTATCAATCATTATTAGATAACCAGACATGGGAACTTGTTCCTCCTCCTGAAGGGAAGAATATAGTAGGATGTCGTTGGGTATTCAAGGTAAATGGGAGAATGGATCTGTGGAAGATACAAAGCAAGATTAGTGGCGCAAGGTTACTCTCAATCTGAAGGTACCGACTATGAAGAAGTTTTTTCACCAGTAGTTCGTTATGCATCAATTAGATTATTGCTGAGTGTGGCGAACATACACAACTGGGAAGTTCACTAAACTGACGTAAAGACTGCCTTTTTGCAAGGTAAGCTAGAAGTTGAAATTTACATGAAACAGCCGGAAGGTTATCTTGATCAAGAGAAGAAGAATTATGTATGTCGATTGAAGAAAAGCATATATGGTTTGAAACAGGCTGCACGATGTTGGAATTCTGAAATCGACAAGTTTCTATTGTGAAATGAATATCGAAAAAGTAATGCAGATTCGTGTGTCTATATAAAGTCCATTAAACGAAAGAATGGTAAAATCGACTTTGTCATATTGGCCTTGTATGTGGATGACATACAGTGGTTTTCTAATTGTACAGATATGATGACTGAAGAAAAGAGATCTCTCGCTAAGAGATTCAAAGTCAAACATGTTGGTGAAGTAGGTTACATTTTGGGAATGTCAATAAAGCGCAACCGTCAAGCTAAAACACTTAGTATCAGTCAGTCACAATATTTGCTTGGAGTACTAAAGAAGTTTGGAATGGATGAATCAAAACCAGTATCAACACCACTAGATACGTCAAAGAAGTTTGTATCATTATCTGATAATGAGAAGCCAGTAGATGTTCAGAAATATCAAATGGCAATAGGTTGCTTAACATATGCAACTGTTGCAACTCGTCCAGACTTAGCTGCCGCCGTCGCAACTTTATCTAAATATATGTCCAGACCAGGTAAAGATCATTGGCAACAGTGAAAAGAGTGTTTCGTTATATCAAAGGAACGATGGACTATGGTCTTTTGTTTACTGCAAATGGAAAAGATTCTGATTTGTATGGTTTTTCAGACGCCGATTGGGGTGGTGATGTGGAGACAAGACGTTCTACATCAGGGTATGTTTTTCAGATTCAAAACAGTACGATAAGCTGGTGCAGTAAACGACAGACATCTGTATCAAGATCTACAACTGAAGCCGAATATATTGCTTTGAGTTCAGCTTCACAAGAGTGTATCTGGCTAAGAAGATTACTGAATGATATTGAATTGTTGAAACCTGTTCCTACAACAATTTACGAAGATAATCAAGGAGCCATTCAATTGTGCAAGAATCCGAAATTTCATAATCGCACAAAGCACATTGACATATCCTATCACTTCATTAGAGGGCAAGTTAATAAGAACGCAATATGCGTAAAGTATTGTCCTACAGAATCAATGATTGCTGACATTATGACTAAACCATTAAGCAAGCCTACGTATGAACGTTTTAGAGATCTTCTTGGTGTAAAACAAATTTAACTTAATAAGTAATTTAGTTGATCGTTAAGTGGGAGTGTTAAAAGGAAATGACATCACAGTGTATAACTCTCAACTTAATTGTTAATCATTTGACCTATGTACTTGTTGTTCTGCCTTATAAAGAGAGCACATGTTATGTTAAAATATATTGTCAATCGTTGTGTTGTTAAACTCCTTTATGATTCTATCTGATGTTCGGTAAAACCTCTAAATCTAACGGAGTGAAGGGTACACCTCTCTCTGTTCCAAACTATTTAGTCACTAAATATATACTTTCATATAGAGTGAAGGGTACACCTCTCCTGTTCCAAACTATGTAGTCACAAACTATACTTTCATGGAGAGTGAAGGGTATACCTCTCCCTGTTTCAAACTTTGTAGTCATTAACTATACTTTCATGGAGAGTGAAGGGTATACCTCTCCTTGTTCCAAACTATGTAGTCACTAACTATACTTTCATGGAAGGTGAAGGGTACACCTCTCTGTTCCAAACTATTTAGTCACTAAATATACTTTCATATAGAGTGAAAGGTACACCTCTCCCTGTTCCAAACTATGTAGTCACAAACTATACTTTCATGGTGAGTGAAGGGTATACCTCTCCCTGTTTCAAACTATTTAGTCACAAACTATACTTTCATGGAGAGTGAAGGGTATACCTCTCCCTGTTTCAAGCTATGTAGTCACTAACTATACTTTCATGGAGAGTGAAGGGTATACCTCTCCTTGTTCCAAACTATGTAGTCACTAACTATACTTTCATGGAAGGTGACGGGTACACCTCTCTCTGTTCCAAACTATTTAGACACTAAATATACTTTCATATAGAGTGAAAGGTACACCTCTCCCTGTTCCAAACTATGTAGTCACAAACTATACTTTCATGGAGAGTGAAGGGTATACCTCTCCCTGTTTCAAGCTATGTAGTCACTAACTATACTTTCATGGAGAGTGAAGGGTATACCTCTCCTTGTTCCAAACTATGTAGTCACTAACTATACTTTCATGGAAGGTGAAGGGTACACCTCTCTCTGTTCCAAACTATTTAGTCACTAAATATACTTTCATATAGAGTGAAGGGTACACTTCTCCCTGTTTCAAACTATGTAGTCACAAACTATACTTTCATGGAGAGTGAAGGGTATACCTCTCCCTGTTTCAAACTATGTAGTCACTAACTATACTTTCATGAAGAGTGAAGGGTACACCTCTCTCTCTTTCAAACTAAGTAGTCACTGACTATACTTTCCTGGAAATGGAAGGGTACACCTCTTTCTGTTTCAAACTATGTAGTCACTAACTATACTTTCGTGGAGAGTGAAGGGTATACCTCTCCCTGTTTCAAACTATGTAGTCACAAACTATACTTTCATGGAGAGTGAAGGGTACACCTCTTCCAGTTTCAAACTATGTAGTCACTGACTATACTTTCATGGAAGGTGAAGGGTACACCTCTTCTTGTTTCAAAGCATCGAACTTGTAATACTGAACAACATTAGACAAATAAAATTTTTTTAGAAATTTATTATCAAAAAGTGAGGATATAACCTAAATGGTGATTATTGAATGGATGTGAATACAGTCACGTGACATGCATTTGAAGCCTGAGTGTGCTAGCAATAATAAAGCGATTATTATTAATAATTGGTTCGTGTGACCTTAGCGTGAAAAAATGAAGCGAGAATAATGCTTTCGTGGCATTTTTACGGTGAAATTTTTGGGAAGCATTTTGTTTAAAAAGAAAGCAGTGCTATTCCGACTTACAGCCCGTTCGTTCTATTTGTTTTCTATGAACATTTGCTCTAAACAATGAAGTTTTAGTACCTGATTATCTCGATGTTTATTTAAATGTTGATATTGATGACAATAGTTCCAATATCATTTGAACTGTGTTCATCGAAGCACTTAATTTTGTGGACTTTTCTTTGTTTTCCATGCTTGAGTACTACACATACTGCATATATTTATATTTCAACGAATTTGTCTGATTATCTTAAATTCTACGTTTAATCAACGTAATATCTAATATAGGATTTTGAACGTGTTCTCTAGTTGCAAAATGTGACGTTAAACAAATAATTTTCTACCTCTTGGAGTAAGTTTGACATTAGATTATTCAGAAATATATTCGGAAATGGCGTGCTGTCTAAATGCTTACGAAAGTGGATATGATAAATCGAGATTTAAGACTGCTGTTGATGAAAACTTTCATTGTTCGATTTGCCTGAACGTCGTTAAAGATGCCAGAATGTGTCAACATAACGAACACATCTTTTTTCGTTTTTCTGTTTAAGAACATCTACGAGTTAATGCACAAAGATGTCCTCAATGTCAACATAACTTGACGGTAGCTACACTTCGTCCAGCACGTATGATAAATAACATGGTTTCTAAGTTAAAGATCAGTTGCGACTACGTCGTTCGTGGTTGTCCTGAGTTTATAAAAGTTGAATATCTTGAACGACATGTTGAAAATTGTGGCTTTGCTCCAGTTTTGTGTTCTAATGAACGTTGTGGTAAGGAGATAAAAAACGAGACAAGATTAAACATGAAACTGAGTTATTATGTAAATAGTTTAGTGGAGACGAAACAACTTCCCCATGGCGACAGTTTCAATTTTGCACAAGCTGTATTTTCAGAAGCGAGACGATGAATTTTTGTGATGAAAACTCGGTGTGAGTGAAAAATAAGAAGTTATCATAAGATGAGTGAAAGAAGATTGCCAATCTCTAATTTTTAAATTATCTATCAGTGCTCAGCTTTTGGCGAAGTTGTTATGCGAGCGCTGGAGTCAATGCAGGTCAAAAGCCTATTTCAAAATTAGATCATGCACTTATGCTGAAGATTCAACATTGAATCACTTCAGGAGAACACTAGACTGCGTACAAAAATACTCAAAGTTCAATATCAGATCACTCCTGATTATACACGCGAATTATGTAATTGCTACTTCTGATTCAAAATCAAATCACTCTTAATGAAAACACTTGACTTAAGTATATACAAAAACTCAAATTTCAACATCAGATCACTCCCGATGAAGACATTCCACTTGACTACATCAGAAAGACTTGAGATTCGACATCCCAACGGGGCTGATCAAGAAACTATAGCGATGGAATCTATAAAGACAAAACTTTTAACAACACTGTATATTTTATGGACTGTTAATTAAATCTAAACCAGACGTCAATATCGCGTGCACCTCCAACGCAAATCACATTCGTCGCACGGAACGAAAATAAAGTTGTTTTCTCACAAACAGTCACGCAACGGAACACGATTTTTTAAATTGTTTTTTCAACTAGCTATCCTGCAAGTTTTGCGCCTGTGTTCTAAAAGCGCCCTCACATCACACTCAACGATTGCGAAACTAAAAACGGACTCCCGCTAATCAATGATAAACTATTTCTTTATTCATAGCAAGATTTTTGCTGAAATATTTCTTGTGGAGCAATCGTTGCAGTAGACATTGTCTTTAGATGGTTATGAGATGATTTTGAAGCCACACTCAGTGAGTGTATGAGTTTTAATAACACCGACGCTATTTATGTAAATTTTAGAGCATTATCATTATTTTCTTTCTTTTTGAAATCTGTTGCTTTCAAAGTGAGTAAACAGAAAAACATTTGGATGGCTACCCTACCGATTGCGTGGTTTCATAAGTAAGTTAAAAAATTCCATTTGAAGGTATCGGTTTGCTCAGTTGGTGATTTAATCAGAAATTATATTGAAAATAAATGTCAGATCTATTTCAAATCGGAATGCAATGAAGCAAAATGTAATTACTACACAATTAACCTTATTTGGTAATGGATACACATTATTTTTAAGCATTCAAAAAATCAAGTAAAGTATTCTGAAGTCATAAAAAATAAACGGGGACTGAAGAAATTTTTTCTATAAGTTGTCCAATTATAGTTTATGGCTGACGAAGCAATGCCGTTAACGTTTTTAGCACTTTCAAATATGAACTATCATAAATGACGTCATGTGTAGTGATGATCTGTCTTCTATGGTTGCCATGATGTCATGTCAAAATTCACAATTAACTTATTTAACTACATTTTCATCTACTTATAATAAAAAGAAACTTAAGTGGAAAACTTTCATTGAAATGATATTGTTTTATCGTTTTTGTTATATCAAAATTAAACTATCATTCTTTAACGTTTACATAAACAAAGATGAAAGGAGAAATGTTGACCTTCAGTAGACTTCCCTGTGGAATGGATTCACACGAGCTAAAATTAAATGACGGCAATTTCTATTTTACACCTTGAACAATGACTTAATAATTATTATACTTAACTCGCGACTGTGCCAAAATTTGAAGTGGTCCAATAGATTTAGGAAAAAAAACTTGAATAGGAAATCCTATTTGTTTGTTTTTCTGTCAAAATATTTTTTAAATGTAAACTCTTTCGATGTACACAACTTTAAACAATTGTCGCAGATGACTACACGCACAATCATACGGCGGTTTGGAACAGAATGTTTAAGATTTAAATTTACGTTTCTGTAAACACCGATTTCCAATCTCTTCTAGAATTTTCGTTTTTAAAGTGAGATATTAATAAAGTAAGATGAAACAATAATAGGGAGTTATCTACCAAGCATGTGTATCTTTTTGCCATTTCAAATGTCATGAGGCTTTGAAAACTATTCCTAAAGAAATCAAGAAATTTAGAGTACAGTCTCAAAAACACATTCCTCCCATTGAAGATAAATATTTTATTCATAAAATAAACACAATAAAACGCGTGCAGTGATTGGTTAACGACAGTGTTTGCATTAGTCTGTGCAAACAAACCGATCTGAGCTAAACCAAACAAATCAATCACTCAATCGAAGAGAATTTGCAAATCGATCATGAATGCATTTAGAGGAATGTTAAAACATTTGTTTAAAATTGTCTATTTCGCATTATTGTTATTTTTCAAAAGAAATAAAAGGTGTTTTTCGTGTTTGGACTACATGGTTTATGTCGGATACGAACGAAGACGAAAAATACCATGTTAAGCGTTTGTCGCTTTCTTCGGAAAATACTGCAAATTGTTTTTTCAATGCAATGTGGCGCCTAGTGGCGACAAATTTACCGTAATTGTAAAAAATATATATATTACACTATTTAATCTTTGAAAAGTGTTTTGAGGCTTCTTTCAATGTCTAGCTCCTTTTTTTTGATGGGTGAAGAAAAGTAAAGAAGCATGTTTTTGCGTTTTGCCACAGTCCTGAATCTGAACAACTTGCTGCGGGTGAGTCATTTGTTTATGCAGTTCAGTGAACAGAACAACATAGCTGTCAAATTTGTAAAGTATCGCAACTGCGTCAGTCTTAAGTTTTTACTTTCTGGAAATTAACTTTAGTATTGCTACAGTGAGCAATGCCCTCAGAAACTCTTTGATATGCTTGCCAATAATGAATATCTTTGAAATAAATCATGATGATAAAGTTTTTTAACTGAATTTCCAAAACTAGACCCCCCACAGTTGCCTCAACATTAAGGAAGTAACCTGGAGAGGAGAGGGTGGTAAGCAGCCTATGAATAAATAATTATTTCTTTCTCTTTTGATATTCATGTATATATAGATAGTTTCATCAGAATTGGATTATGAACAATGAATACAAACAGCATATCCTCTTTTTTGTTCAGGTGAGGTTACTCTTATGGGATATGCATTTTTTATTTTTGTCTAAATTTAAGTTAGATTCCATACTTTAAAATATTTTTTTGTAATTTCAACCAAAGGGAACAGACACAATGTATGAATCCTTGTCAAAATCAAATGCATAAAAAATTTGCATTGAAAATTCAGGAACTGAAAAAATATAGTCAACCCCTTAAATGTAATATTGGCTTATGACGGATAAAATACTCCCTGTTCCAAGTCTACTTGTCACTCACTATGCTTTCATTGAAAGTGAAGACTTTATCTCTCCTGTTTTAAGCTATCTCATTACTTTTCTTTCATGAAGAGTAAAGGTTACACCTCACATTGTTTTAAACTAAGTAGTCACTCACTATTCTTCCTGGAGAGTAAATTAGACACCTCTACCTTTTTAAACTCGGCAATCCCCTTTTTGTCATGAAGAGTGAAAGATAGACCTATCTCTGTTCCTGGCCAAGTAGTCACCCATTGTATGAATTAGTTTCAAAAAAATGAAGTTCTTGTTTTTCAGAAAAATGTTTCTCTCAAGTCACAATTAGATTGATATTACATGATGTGCTCTTGTTTTCAGAAAATGTTTCTCTCAAGTCACAATTAGATTGATATTACATGATGTGCTCTTGTTTTTCAGAAAAATGTTTCTCTCAAGTCACAATTAGATTGATATTACATGATGTGCTCTTGTTTTCAGAAAAATGTTTCTCTCAAGTCACAAATAGATTGATATTACATGAAGTTTCAGAGTCATTTTCAAACAAACACTTCATTAAGCCAAACATGATGCAGTAGTAAAATTGTGCCTATATTGTACATTTGAACAAGTTAAACAGTTCATGTGTACAACTGGTCAATTTCTGAAGACTCTTGTTCTGAAAAATAGGCATGTTTGCCCCGACATGATGTGACTAATGTGTTTACTTCTCATTTCTCTGGATTAGCTTGTAAAAACTTTTGTATGTATAACTTCTGTTATTAATGTTTGAATCGGATAACAAAACATCCTATTGATATCATACTACAAAGAATGGCAATTTGTGGTCTAGTAATTAATGCATAATATTTACTTTTTTGCATATTGCTTAAAAAATAATGTGCTATTTTTAATATTTTACTAAAATGTCCACTTTGCACTTTGCAAACAGTAAATTACCACACTGTAGTCACTCACTATGCTTTCATAGAGAGTGAAGGGTAGACTCTCCTTGTTCCAAACTATGTAGTCACTATACTTTCATGGAGAATAAAGGGTACACCTCTCCCTGTTTCAAATTATGTAGTTACTAAATATACTTTCATGGAGGGTGAAGGGTACTCCTCTCCCTGATTCAAACTATTTAGTAACTAATTATACTTTCAAATAGAGTGAAGGGTATACCTCTCCCTGTTTCAAACTATGTTGTCACTAACTATACCTTCATGGGGAGTGAAGGGTACACCTCTCCCTGTTTCAAACTATGTAGTCACTAAATATACTTTCCTGGAGAGTGAAGGGTACACCTCTCCCTATTTCAAACTAATTAGTCACTAACTATACTTTCATGAATAATGAAGGGTACACCTCTCCCTATTTCAAACTATGTAGTCACTAAATATACTTTCCTGGAGAGTGAAGGGTACACCTCTCCCTGTTTCAAACTAATTAGTCACTAACTATACTTTCCTGGAAAGTGAAGGGTACACCTCTCCCGGTTTCAAACTATGTAGTCACCATTTATACTTTCATATAGAGTGAAGGCTACACCTCTCCCTGTTTCAAACTAATTAGTCACTAACTATACTTTCCTGGAGAGTGAAGGGTACACTACTCCCTGTTTCAAACTATGTAGTCACTAACTATACTTTCATGTAGGGCGAATGGTACACCTCTCCCTGTTTCAAACTAAGTAGTCACCTACTTTACTTTCCTGGAAATGGAAGGGTACTACTCTCCCTGTTTCAATTTAGTCACTAAATATACTTTCATGGAGAGTGAAGAGTACATCTCTCCCTGTTTCAAACTATGTAGTCCCTAACTATACTTTCTTGGAGAATAAAGGGTACACCTCTCCCTGTTTCAAATTATGTAGTTACTAAATATACTTTCATGGAGGGTGAAGGGTACTCCTCTCCCTGATTCAAACTATTTAGTAACTAATTATACTTTCAAATAGAGTGAAGGGTATACCTCTCCTGTTTCAAACTATGTTGTCACTAACTATACCTTCATGGGGAGTGAAGGGTACACCTCTCCCTGTTTCAAACTATGTAGTCACTAACTATACTTTTATGAATAATGAAGGGTACACCTCTCCCTATTTCAAACTATGTAGTCACTAAATATACTTTCCTGGAGAGTGAAGGGTACACCTCACCCTGTTCCAAACTATGTAGTTACTAACTATACTTTCATGGAGAGTGATGGGTACACCTCTCCCTGTTTCAAACTATTTAGTCACTAAATATACTTTCATATAGAGTGAAGGGTACACCTCTCCTTGTTTTAAACTATGTAGTCATTATCTATACTTTCATGGAGAGTGAAGGGTACACCTCTTCTTGTTTCAAAGCATCGAACTTGTAATATTGAACAACATTAGATAAATAGAAATTTTTAAGAAATTTATCATCAAAAAGTGAGGAATGATCTAAATGGTGATTATTGAATGTGATGTGAATACAATCACGTGACATGAATTTGAATCTTGAGTGTGCTAGCAATAAAACGATTGTTATTAATGATTGGTCGTGTGACGTGAGCGTGAAAATATGAATGAGAATAATATTTTGATGCTTTCATGGCATTTTTACGGTGAAATTTCGGGAAGCATTTTGTTTAAAAGGAAAGTCGTGCTATTCCGACTCACAGCCCGTTCGTTCTATTTGTTTTCTATAAACATTTGCTCTGAACAATGAAGTTTTCGTACATGATTATCTCGATGTTTATTTAACTGTTGATATTGATGACAATAGCTCCAATATCATTTGAACTGTGTTCATCGATGCACTTAATTTTGTGGACTTTTCTTTGTTTGCCATGCTTGAGTACTACACATATACGCACTGCATATTTATATTTGAACGAATTTGTCTGATTGTTCTAACTTCTGCGATTAGTCAACGTAATATCTTATAGAAGATTTTGAACGCTTTCTCTAGTTGCAAAATGTGACGTTAAACAAATAATTTTCTACCTCTTGGGGTAAGTTAGACTTAGACATTAGATTATTCAGAAATATATTCGGAAATGGCGTGCTATCTAAATGATTATGAAACTGGATATGATGAATCGAGGTTTAAGACTGCTGTTGACGAAAACTTTAATTGTTCGATTTGCCTGAACGTCGTTAAAGATGCCAGAATGTGTCAACATAACGAACACATCTTTTTCGTTTTCTATTTAATAACCACTACGAGTTAATGCACAAAGATGTCCTCAATGTCAAGATAACTAGCTACACTTTATCCAGCACGTATTATAAATAACATGGTTTCTAAGTTTAAGATAAGTTGCGACTACGCCGTTCGTGGTTGTCCTGAATTTATAAACGTTGAAGATCTTGAAAGACATGTTGAAAATTGTGGCTTTGCTCCTGTGTTGTGTTCTAATGAACGTTTTGGCAAGGAGATAAACAAACGAGAGAACATTAAACATGAAACAGATTTATGTGAATGCAGAAAGATTTCTTCTCACGACTTTAGAGAGATTAGAAAAAATCTATCTTCAGTGACTAAAGAAATGTAAGCCATGATGTTTCAAATGTTGTAAAAGATTAATACAAATGAACGTATTCAAACACTGCCATTACCAATTGACTTAGTAATCGATTCAGTAAGAGAAAATATTTTGATAATATAACTAGCATTAACAACAGTTTAATGTTCTTGACAGTTCTGCTCCTCTGGGATTTAAAATTTAAGTTTAAAAGTTAAAAGCAAAGCAATTTAAAAGTACTATGATGCACTGATTTTTGTCTCAAATCTAATAAGGAAATGCTTTCTAAAATCAAAGCGACAATAACTTAGAGATAGCAACCAAAATAGGTAATCACATTTTCCAATAGTTGCTACGAACATTTTGCAACAAACAAACGTGTTACTAAATCAACTAGGTAGAGCAAATAGCTATTGCAGACAATATTGTCTATTGCAGACTATATTGTCTATTGCAGATTTCCTTTTAATGCATACAAATTATTTGTACGGTTCCGTTTTTCTGATGACACTCTGTATATTGGCTACATAGTGTATAAAACACTTTTTTCTCTAGTGTTTCTGAAGTACGCAATAATAGTTAAAAAAGGCCAATCTAACATTTCTAAAAATCATCTCAGGAAGAATGGTGTTATACAAAGCCATTATTACAACATTCTAGTGGCTTGTATTTCGACATGGAGCTCACTGATTGACTTATCGTTTCAGCCTGGAGGTGAAAATATCCTTGCTCCTTCACCAACATGTTATAACGTGAAATAATGGCTGCCATATTTATCTACAAGTTTATCAATCAAGTCCCCAGTTATTCGAGTTAAGCTTCAGAAGATTTTTATTTAATTTTCTCATTTGCTGTTGTTATTCATTCCTTTCAATTTCCGTGTTCATCAAACTTTAACTGGAAATTTCAAGATTCGCCTGAGCATACAATGAGCCATCAACACCTTGAAAATAATTGGTTCAAGTCTATCAGAACTCTGCTTGCGTTGTCAGTTTTGTAATCCTCGGTTATCGTCAGATACGAGCTAAGAAATAGTATACCACTTTAAGCGCTCGTCTCTTTTCCGGAAAGTAGACGAAGTACCACTGATGGTTTTACAAATGTGGCTCCGATTCTCAATTTCACCACCCACTGTAAAAAAGATGTTTTACATAATGTAATCTTTAAAAAGTGTTTATAGGCTTCTTTCAATGTCTTGGTGCATGTTTTGAAGAGGAATAAAAGCAAAACAGCACGTTTTTGCCGCAATCTTGACTTTGAACAACTTGCTTTGCAGTCAGTAGTGTTAGTCTTTTTTTGATGAGTATACGTAGAGTTTGACTTTAGTTTGCCAAGAATGAATGTCTTTGAGATAATTAAATGATGATAAAAGTTCTGTTAACTGAATTTCTAGGATAAGACCCCCCCACACAGTTCTGCCACAAATTTAAATAAATTAACTGGGGAGAAAGGTTGTAAAGCTTTGCCTATAAATACATCAACTTGTAACCATGACCTCTTGTTTATTTTAGGTACATGCAGATAGTGTCATCAGAATACAGCCTCCGTAAAGTTCAAGTAGGATTGCTCTTATGCAAAATATATTTTTCACTTTTAATCTAAACCTTACATATTGCCTTTATGATGCATGAGCCATTTTACAACACTGCCTTTACAGTTTCTACCTTTGTGAAAAAATGTCGTAACGCGAATTCTCATCCGATCAAATCTCTTAAAAATTTGATCTACAAGTTTTCTGCTTGGAAAAGGGGTCGTTGTAAGACAGGTGTTTGTTTCGTTACCAAGCAAATGCAAAAATATAAGTTGGTAACAAGACAAGCTCACAACAATCAAAATTAATACTAATGGACTTGTATCTGTTATTGTTAGTATGAGGATGGCATTTAAACTAATAACTAAGATCAAAACAACACTCATTCCGTATTCCATGTTTCTTGTTCTTCCCCATATGCAAAATATAATGACGGCAATTAGCAAAAGAACCTGAACAACAAAAAAAATAACTATTTACTCTGCTTTCATGCATTGTACCATCTCTGGAGAGGGGAAATCAAGAAATTGAGCTGTATAAGAAAATAAGGATATGACCTACTCCTACTAAGCCCACACCCCATAATTGCCTCCTGGTAATAATTATCCATTTGAAAGGTAGCAGACAATGCACCCAACCTCTATTTATCCCCTACCCTTTCTAGCTCAAAAAATCAGCCGGAAATTAGCTTTTATCGAAAATAGTAATGATTATTATCAAGATGTTTGTTGTAAATGTCTACTAATTTCAGGATATTTAAGGGTCTGAATGGAGATCTTCCAGTCAAAGAGTGAAATGGATTTTCAAACTCGGATATTGGCCTCTCAATGTCCAAATATGTTCAACCAATTAGTGCTTTTGTGGATATTTCAATAGCCAATCAATATGTGTCAACAGAATTGAATGTAGACAAAATAAGCACTATGGTCAATCATTTCTGCAATTGAGTTTTTGTAAATGAGCAAGCTCATGTTTCCATATGCCTAAATTGTACAATACTTAAACGGAAAACTCTTCCCGGCGGCTCGTGGTCACTTTTTTAGTTTTTATCACAAATGACGTCTTACCGGTCTAACTATAACTGTATAAACAACGGTTAACTGTCATCTATTTGTTTTATAAAATAAAATCAAAAAATTCCCAAATTAAACCGTCAAACAGTTTGTCTTCTTTTCTCCCAACACTTGGAACGTTGAAAAATCTTGATTTTGCAAATATCACGCTGACGTGATCTCTAGGATTGAAGAAATTCCATTGGCTAGCTTAATCACATTATAAAGTGTGATTGGCTAACAAAATAAACAAGCAATGACTGATCAATTTTGTTGAAATTTTGTTATCGAAGACGAAGTACAAATTAATGTTTGAAAATCGGGTTTTTTCTTTTCTTTTTTCTCAAATACGTAAACTGCCTCAACTAGGTCTTTGTAAATATCTTTATTTTCCCATTCAGGGAGGTATTGCGATAAATTTCAAATATGTTCGCCATTTGTTTTTATAAACATGAAATTTTCTGTGCCGTCAATTCCGTGCGTATGTCCTCTTTTAGATCGTAGATCTCGACCAATGAAATTGCTCAAATTCTTCCGGTTATTATATAATAAGTAATGACATTCAGTGGCGCTGGAACAAGGATTATATTTTGGGGGGAACACTCTGAAACGTCATTTCCATGTATTACGTATTGTTTTATATGCATGATTGAATATTTTAGTGATATATGGAAAGACTTAAGTTTAGTAAATATTGGGGAACAGTCGCCCAACGTCACCCACTTGCCGACGCCTCTGATGACATTTGAAATAGTTTCTGTATGTGTGGCAATACTAATTATAGTACGTATGAAATCCCAAGCTCTGGTTACTTTTACGACATATTGTTGCCAAATCTTAAAAAGAGCTATCTTTTTGATAATCTGTTTTATTTCATAAAGTTTAAATTGTGCTGGTTAGAACATGGCAATGTAAATAAAGATGGACCGTCTAAAACTTATCGCTGCTCTAAACGTCAACTCGCTGCTTGGGATGACGTCATTCTTTTTTGTCTTTACATTGGTTCAATCACCCCGATAATAACTTTGCTTTCTAAAACTTCATGGAAGCAGCATGGTAATTTTTCTCTTTTTAGATACGTGTTGAGGAAATTCCTGTGATTGAAAACGTCTTACGGCAAAATTGAAGAAAAATACTCATTTAATGACAGACAGCTTTTATTTTGTCAAAAAATTTGACGACAAACTGCAGAAAGTTGATTAAACATAGTGCTTGCTTTGTTTATATTTTGTTTGATCACGCATTCTGATTGGTCCGTTGCGTAATTATGTCAATAAAGTGCTGATTATTTTGACATCATTTAAAAAGGTCGCAAATATTTTTGCAATAATTTAACCACAAAAAAACTATCCCAGTTATTTCAATCTATTTTCCCAAATTCGAACCATAAAATTGCTATCTTGCTGTGAGTGCCCACGACATTAAACTACTAATTTTTGAAGCAATCGCAAAGAGGATAAATAACTCTTCACTCAAGCAAAGCATAAGCTTTGTTACAAAAAAATATAAATTTTCACGATTGAGAGTTGGGTACAAAAACATGAGGTCAGCTTAATTATATCTTAGCTTGTGTACATCCTGCATTAGATGGTATGTGCAGTCTTGTCTAAAAGTAAGATATCCTAATTGTTTAAGCGCAAACCATTGAGATAAATATATGTGCTATCCTTTGGTATATATGCCTCTACTTACATGAGCCAGCAGACACTAATGTTTTAGTTAAAGTCTCTCATTTACAGTGGCGCCTGTAGTATTTCATTTTGCAGGGGCAAAACACTCCCCAATTGTCACTTAGATATATTACGCTCTGATTTCTATGACGGGCATTTTTGAAACACGTATATTAAGACCTTAGTATGGGAAATATTGGGAGCAGTTCCCCTCCCACTTTCCCCTTTTCCGGCGCCTTTAATCATTTTAGCTTACTGTGTTAACAAACTGTCTTTGGACCGTGCTTGCAAATATTTGTTGAATTGATGCCTTAAAGTTTTGGCAGGAAGTGGCAGAGCAATTACATATTCCGTTCATTCTTTAGCTATCTTCATGAAATTAAAATTTTTCTAAGGGTCATTTGGAATGCTTTTACAGACAGCAATATTCTAAAAATATATGATGAATCTATAAATAAATGTAACAAATATTAACATTCTGTTTATAGGTTTAGACCAACTTACCACACCAAATCTCCATATTTCATAGTAATGCGCTCTTATGTCAAACGTCATGCTTTAGATTTGAACTTGTTACAACACTAAAAAGAGAAAAGCACCCGTTTCAAAACTCAAAGTGTATTCATTTGCACTAACATTGTATGTTTTGTGGAAAATAATTTTTACCTGCTTACAAAGTGTATTTTTTGTACCTTAGAAAAGTCTAAATGAAGGAGTTTATTGTTAGAATTGGTCTCTAAGATATTTTTTAAATTTCCTCCATGTATGATTTGACGCATAGATGAACCAGCGTCAGAAAAATTGAATTATAGCAGTAATTTCAAATTCATAATACGTTTATAATTTTGGTCATTTAAATTGTAAATGTATTGAAGAACAAACTATTGGAATTTGTTCTGTGTAATCGAAGCCTCCCTCTGTTATGAAATGCTACATATTAGTTATTAGTAACATCGCTGACTTTATGCTGTATTAAAATGACCAAATTTTTTTCGCATAAATTGTCTGGAATTCGTATCTTCAAGTAGGAAGCATAAATCATCTTTCATGTTTTTTAATTAAATAAAAAGAACGTTATTTTTCGTGCATCAAATCTTTGTGTTTAGTCGGTAAATTTTTCAAACTCCATTGAGAATTGAATCCAAAAACTATTATTTCAAACTTTCTCAACTGTCTCTTTCACCCTTACTTTAACCAATAGCTGCATTGAAATAGAGTAGAACTGTGTTTATTTTCTACCGAACTTCTCTCAGGATGCAGTTTTGCTTGGCTTAGGAGACTTAAAAATTTAAGGTATTAGTGATTCGCCATTATGAAATTAATTCCATGCAAAAATCTTAAGAAATTACACCAAAACAATTTTGAATAAGAACAATGTTCAAAACAAAGTTGAAGTATATATATAAAAAGTTTACTTAATTACTCATAGAGATATCTTAAAAACTGTCGTAAACTATCGAATTATGTCTCTAGCGTTTGCGAAAACGAATTCCAGTCACTTTTGAAGAATTTTTTGTTAAACATGCATATCATAGTTTTCATATTAGTTGTCGCTTTATATGAACAAGGTATTCGTATACTTGTAAGCATTGCTACATTGTTCCTGCGAGGAACAAGAAGCTACCAAGTATACTTTTTATCGCCATCAAGGAAAAGACGAAATACTTGCACAAGTATTAAATTAAACTAGGTGTCATAGTTTTCTACCTTTACTTATTATTTTAACAAACTTATCGTACAATAATTTACGTTTACTAGCAGTTTTATCCATACCTTGATATATTTTTTAACCTTCAAACGAATATTCCAAATCCTTCGCTGAAAACATCGAGTTGTGAGTCTTGAATGAAGCGTTAAAAATATGATCGAAATGTTCATTGTTCAAAATCTCTATAATGCATTAGTAATAAAGTTTCGATACATCAACCAATCATAATCAATCATCAAATGAGCTTTTAAGAAAACAATGTACGCTGCTATGTTAAGCCAGTTTTTAGGTAGTAGCTTTTGCAATAAAACGAACGATACGTTTTCGTGAGACAGAATAATACACAATTATTGGATGAGATTGAGCATGGTATCAAGAATTATTCAGACCGATGTCTTTGTTATCTGCTAAAGTGAAGCTGAGCCGGATATAACATTGAACGAAGTCTGAATAATTCTTGACATCTTGCGAAACACGAATTCAATAATTGTTTTATTATTCACTGAAGTATTATCAAAACATATCAATATAAAACATTTTTCAAACTTTCGCTAATTTGTTTTTGTCAGACGGTTTATTCAAGTTTTTTCTCGTTTAAATATGTTGTAAATGTGTTCAAAGCCAGCTTCGCCGCTTTTTTAGTGTTTTCCGCAGCAAGGTACTGGGACCTAACCCCCCATCCCCCCAACGTTTCGTCGCCCAATTTTTTCACCTCTAGTATTATTTATAATATCTATTGATTTCCCGTCCACGTAATTAGTATACAGGTCAGTGGTATAACTCTTAGCTATGCTTTGAATAAAATCAAGGATTATATTTAAATAATTCATTTTTATAAGTAAAGTAAACTGATTTCAGGGCCCCTTATTCTACTCCTATTACATTATTTCACTGTTATTTTGCTCTATCTTTATTGATGTTTAGTATTCTACAACTGCAATATCGTATTATCTGTACGTATAAAATATAAATAAAACAAGAAAATTACATCCAGACAATCCTGTTCCAAGGGTGATTAGATTACTCACTTTTTACGGGATTTTAATGAATATATACTCATATATGCGAGAGGAATATGTTGCTTACACTATGAAACAGTTTAGAGTTTGATTTTTAATAAACAATCATGTATAATATTTTGGGTGCAGTCCAATTTCAATGCTGATGCTCGTATGAAAAATTCTATTAGGACGAGATTTGATACGGCCGCCTTTTGCATGATCTAAGGCGTGAACGTCTTCTTCTCAACTTAAAATGAATTCAAGTTTAAAAGAATGTGCAAAAATAGTGGTTCTCATTTTAATAGTTTAAATCTAAATTTGAAATTAAGCAAGAAGTTTAAAATTTTTAAAGTTATATGAATAGAACTTTATAAAAATCCTTGTTTCGAAAGATGCGCTTAGGCCCTTGGGCCAACAAAGTAGGTCCATCAGGATGCCCTTTGACTACAGTATATCTAATAGGATATTCCTGCATCAGCTCCTTTTCATCCCGGAGTCAAGATCATAAATGATAGCACGACGTGGCCAACTCGAAATAAGAAGTTTGCCTTGACCAAAATGAAATGCTATATCATAAATCTCTTGCATTGATAGTGTTACCGTCTTAATCAACGAGCCTTCCATCGTGTAAACGTAGATAGAACTACATCCAGCTAGAAAGATTTCATTTTGTTTGAAATAGCCAATGCTTCCACATAATCTTGTGCAAAAACGCTTGCGAAATACTCCGTTCTTGTCATGAATAAACACTTCACCTGTCCAAGGGTAATCATTACGCCTGACTAGAGATTCGAGCAACACAACATTATTGTTAAAGATCTTCAAACAATGATCAGGAGTGTCTATTGAGGGAGACCTACAACCCCGAGTGTCCACACTAGACTGAATGTCCACTTTATGCTTCATGGATAGATTTTTATCAAAAATATGAAAAGACTTCTCAAATCTTTCTTCATCAAAATAAGCAACCATTCGTATTGCGTACACGTTATCCTCTTGATCCACTGATAAAGCACTGATCCACGTATTGTCATTATTTGGATATTTATGATAAACGTCATCAAGTTTAAAACCTCGCTTTCTTAAATTAACATATGGCTTACGAAGACTAATTACGTTATTAATACCACTTACGATTTCACCACGACTGTTAACATCCCAACTCATAATACATCGCAAATGTGGTCCGATAAAAAAACCAAATTCGAATTCGTTAGGAGATGCAATCAACTCTTCACCCCAAGAATTTGTGGTGGAGATCTTTCGCCAGTCTAATATTGGGTTCAACAACAGTCCTTCATGTTCAATAGTTGGCCAATCCCATACATGACTACTATAGTATTTGATACTCGCAATAAAGTCATACAATTGACGGTTGAGGAGCATCACTGGTTCTATAATTTTCATTCTGTTAACTATTATATTGCTCAATTTTGCTCTCCAGCCACCCTTGATGTGAAGTGAGAACTTTTTACGAACTTCGTCCAGTTGATGTAGCTTTTTCATATACTGTAAACACAACTCAATGGCTTCCTCTGGGCAATCAAGGCTCCAAAATATTGTCACGATCTTAACTTTCACAGCCAATATTCTGTTCTCAAAGCTTAAATTTTCGTTGTTGAACGCCTTCGTTGCTGCTTCCCGGGATGTGTAAAATACTTTCTTTGCATTTTCAAAGCTAATTGACCCAGTCTCTAAATTTTTATTTTCTTGAATGAATTGTTCCATTGCTCTCCAAGCTTTACGCACATTGGCACTGGACGTTGCCGTTGAAATGTCGTCATTATTTGCTTCTGTACGTTCTCTCGATTCAAAATTTTTCACTTTGTCAAAGCACAGAAAAAGTTCAACAATTCCTTCTTCCAAAAAGTCTATACTCGAACGAAGATCTACCTGCGAAAGACCATCTAATTTGTCTTTTATTTCTGTTAAAGATTTCTTGACTTCCTGGCGCCATAAATAGTCAGTAATGCCGCTTGTAAATATGTCTAAAATTTTAATTCCGCCAAGAAATGAAACTGCCTCAAGAATAATAACATCAATCATGTTTCGGTTATTATGTTTAAATTTTGAATATATACAGATGATTCTATTACTTTATTGTTAAAATTAAAAACAGTTTGTCTTTAATCTGTCTGTTTTGATGATTATAAATATACTTCTTCCATTTATGCATTATTCGAACCCAATTTGAACCAATCAAAATGAAACTTACACAACTATACTATTGAAATTTCCATTACTTCACAGTACTTAAAATTACAGGTATGTTAGGTGTTCAACTTACTGACATTATTCAATATATATATATATATATATATATATATATAAGTTTGAAAATTGGTAATCCAGGCATTTCATTTAAAATCCGGAGAAACTTTTATCTTTTATGTATATATATATATATATATAGCAAAGTAATATTAAAGTAATTTTTGGCGTATGCCGTGATATATTTACGACATTTTATGCGGTTTGTGACAATATAAAGCAAAAATAAAAATTATTTTAAATGTACGCAATAAGCAATTAAATTTTGTGTGATTCAATGACGCATTACGTTCAAGCCACCCACATATTGAGATATTCAAAATATATTAATATCTTAACGAGAACTTTCTATATTCTAAACATGCATTTTTAAAAAGCAATAAACATTGTACCCGACCATATTTTTTGACTGGTGTTAACAATGATATCAATCTTTCGTTTTTACAAATTATTATATGAATATTTGATATAAGCTTGATAGAAACATAACATGCCAAAATCGATTCGTGAATACCTGTTACAAAGACCCATATAGCACTAGCATATGGCAGCGATTGGTCAATATCACCCATATAAGTATGTATACGCAAGCATACGCTATAGGGTGACGTTATGAATAGGTTTTATAGCATTTATGTCTCCTCTAAAACCTGTCTTACAACAAAGGAGTCGTTGTAAGACAGGTGTTTGTTGGTTGCCAAGCAAATACAACAATATAAATTAAAAACAAGACAAGTTGACAACAATACAAGGTGTTGAGTATAGAATGATTTAACTAAATTCTGGTATTTATTTTGTTTTTTCATCAAACTTATCAATTGGTTAGTCGGTAATTTTTTGAAAATCCATTTGTGATGTGATTCAAAAAGCTTATGCCCCAAAACTTTCTCAACTGTCTCTTTCATCCTTACTTTACCCAATAGCTGCATTAAAATAGAGTAGAACTGTGTCTATTTTCTACCGAACTTCTGTCAGGATGCAGTTCGCTCAGCTGAGGAGACGTAGAAATTTAGGCCCTGTTTACACTCTACCGGATTGTTATCGTAGCAGGTTGAATATTCTTTATATTAAACGGCAGTGAAATTGTTCGACGTCAGAAACACAATCAAATAGACAAGATCTATCAGCTTTTAGTCCGTGCAGTTACCCCTTTAAAGAAAATGAAGACGTCGTGATGAGGGAATCCGGTATAGTGTCAACGCAGTCTTAAGCTATGACTGATTCGTCACAATTTAATCAATTCCCATGCAAAAATTTATTGTTATTCAAATTTCAGCAGAGCAAGTTGTATTACAATAATTTTCCAAACAAAGTTGAAATATACTGTATATATGTAAAAATTTTACTTAATGACTCCGGGAGTTAACTTTACATTTGTCGTAAACTATCAAATTATATCTCTTGCGTTTGTTAAAACAAATTGCAGTCACCTTTAAAAATTTTTTTGTTAAACATGTAGGTTTCATCATCAATGTTTTATACATGATAGTTGTCGCTTTATATGTACAAAATATGCGTATACTTGTAAACATTGCCACATTGTTCCTGTGAGGAACAAGAGAACTGAAGCAACCAAGTAAACTTTCTGTCGCCATTAGTGAAGACGAAATACTAGAACAAGTATTTAACTAAGCCATTGCAAACATGTCATATTGCTGCTTATCATACAATAATTTACGTTTATAACAAGTTTTGTTTAAAATGTCTAATGCGTTATAAATAAAAGTATCGATACATCAACCAATCATAATCAATCATCAACTGAGCTTTTAAGAAAACAGTGTACGCCGCTATGTTCAGCCAGTTTTCAGGTAGTGGCTGTTGCAATAAAACGAACGATACGTTTTTGTGAGACAGAATAATACGCGAATATTGGATGAGGTTGAGC